GGAATGAAGGAGAAGGCCAAGATGAAAGTGGGTCTAAGGATGGCAGCTTGGGAAATGAGCAGATTATAAAATTGTCAATAGAAGTGGAAAACTTGGAGGGCTAAAATAATTCCTGTACTTTTACATACCTTCAGTGACATTAATTTGGGTTATGATTGGGGTGTTCATGTGGATATTTTGGGGGCAGAAGCCCTGAGGTATGGATGAAATGGTCCCTTGTAAGGACAGAGAGACCTTCCAGAAACATTGGGTGGAGGATGGGGTGTTGTCAAATTTTTGGATGATGCTTTAAAAAGTAACAGTTCTAGAGACAGCAGCATTAAAAGAGGAATGATGTTTTTGAAAGTATTAAATATAGCTAACTGTTGGAGGCTGGAGAAGAGAGCATAACTTTAGAAAGCTTTGTGACAGCGAAGCAAGCGAAGAGCGAAAATTAGTGGATTTGATGACACAAGTAAGTGACCTAAGCAAAGCAGTGAGAAAAGTGAATTGAATAAAGGCAATATGCTCTTCATTTGTTATGAGTTTTAAAGAAGGAAGGCCATAGGAAAATTGGTTTGATAGGAAAATGAAGTCAACAAAAATGTTGTTCAGTATTTTCACAAAAGAAGACAACTAGAACTGCTTTAGAAAGTTGTAATTAAGATGGGCTGGTCTGATAGCTCGGTGGACTAAAGCACCAGGCATGCAGTGCAGGCCTGCCCCTGGGGTGCGCTGAGGCGGCATCTGAGACTGGGAGAGATGTTGTGCGCCCGTAATCCCAGCTCTTGGGAGGCTGTAAACAGGAGGATCACTATGACTCCGATCTAGTAGTGAGACCCTGAATACCCTGCAGACCCTTCCCTAAAACACACACACACACACACACACACACACACACACACACACACACACACACACAAACCAGGCCTCCAGAGTAGATCCCTTTTGGGCTCATCTAAAGGGACTGCATATTAACAGCCCCAGAAACAAAAATAAAAGGACTGGAACCGACCAGTGCCTCTGTCTTGGGCAGAAACACAGGTGGAAACTGGCAGGAATGAGCTCCTGGGGGAGGCTGAGAGCTCCGCACACCCCTGGCTTGCTCACGCTTGAGGCCGCTTATGCCGCTCCCAAGGTGCGGGAGCTGGGCTTACGCGCTGCTCTGCCTGGCTGCAGCAGAGTCTGAGAGCTCCCTACCCCACAGGCAGCATTTAGCTTTTCCTTAACATTGAGGGACTACATAACGAATGCCACTGTTCGGTGGGTACTGAGCTAGGATTCAGAGGGCTTCTGCAGTTCTGATTTCAAGTCTGATGTTGAGTCTTAACGCTCTACCCTGATCTGGCTAGAAATAAAGGGCACGATGTCTGTGACTCATACTCAGGTTCAGAAACCAAAGTCACACGTGTGTATTCACACAGATCCCCGCACACCCAAGGGAAGTATAACTAGCAGAAGCGGTAAAACAAGATCATTTGAGGAAACTCACAATTCTTGTCATCACTTTTCTTACAAATAAAGTGAAAGATACGAGGCCCGGGGAGATGGCTCAGTGGAATAAG